ATCCCAGCACTTATTCAGGCCCATCTGATGGAGACGCTGGCAGACAGCACTGTTCTTCTTCTTCATCTTCTTGCCTGGGTGGCCGATTCCCTGTTCCACCACTTCCCACACTTGCAGGAAGATCCTGATTTCAAGGTCAGTCCAGGAGCAACAGGAAGGAACTACAGGGACAGAGAGGGACCAGAGGAGTATATTAGAAGTCATGCACATGTACATGCCACCTTTTGTTTCGATCCTTCCAACTGGAATATGTATAAAACCAGGAGACATCATCAGTGATGAGATGCCAGTAACCTTTCCAATAGGTGGAGGGATGTGACAATCCCAAGGGGGACACCCTGGAGAAATGGGATCACCAATGGAGAGGGAGGGTGTGCAGCAAGCATGGGGGTTACCATACCCATCATACAGAGGACATGAGAGAAGAAACAGAGAGAGCATGATCGTGGCACCCTCACGCTCCACAGAGGCACTATAAGTAATTGCCTCGTCTCTGGGTCAGAGTCAACTGACCCAGAACAAGTCCAAATTCCACTGCCGTGGGGTGAGAGTGGATGTCAGCCACACAGAGCAGGCTGCTATGTGAAGTAGAGGCCTATGGGAAAAGAAATTCCCTCAACTGTGTGCTCTGCTCTATGGCCAGCTGATGCTACACTCTGGGATCTGAAAGTCTTCTCTACACAAGAGACTCACCTGGGACATGGCCTCTCTGGGATCTCTGGCCCAAGATCCTATACAGGTTGCTTGCATAAGGAGAAAACAAGGGATCAGGCCGTTCACCCTCATTACAAAGGGTTTCGTGCAGGTCCATCATCTTCAGCATCAGGTCAAGGCAGCTCTTCCAGCTCTTCCTCAGACCTCGCTTATAGAGGCGCCCACAAAGAGACCGAACCTTCTTCTTCAATTTCTTGCCTGGATGCCCAATTTCATATTCAACAACTTCCCACTCTTGCAGGAAGATCCAGATTTCATTTTCAATCCATGGGCTATCGGGAGGAACTGCAAGGGACAGAAGGAAGTGACGAGGATATCAAAGGTCACACACCACTTCTGATGAGTATATCAAAGGGCACATACATGAACAGGTCAACTCTTCTCAGAGACTCTTGCTGCCCACTGATTGGGCAAAAATGGTTTCATTCAGTTATCAAGTGGTTTGGAAGACTGTCTTGCCAGCCCTGTCACACCAACTCCCCTGCTCTTAACAGCAACAAGTACACTCACTGGAAGAGCTTAGCTGTCTGCACTTTTAGGGAGGTTGTCTCAGAATACAGTGGGATCCACAGCATAAGTGCTACCAGGGAAGGTTGTACCTGCATAGACTCATAACCACAGCCACACCAGGGAGACACTCAGAGCCTATGGCTCTCCTGGGGAAGGACAGACATCAGGTAACACTGAGTGCCAGTCTATCTCTGCCACAGATGTCCACATCTGGGCTCTTACAGCTACTCACAGTAACAGAAGTAAGAAACACAAGAGCAGAGTTTAGGGTTTAGCAGGGATTTGACTCTGAATACCTGAGGACCTTTGGCCTTCCTGCCTCGAACTCCTTCTCCTACTGTTTTCTTGGCTGTTTCTCACACTTTGGACGTGGCTTGCATCTCTCTGTGCAAAAATGAACACATTAAACGTTAAAACAGGTTTCATGCTACAGGAATCCATGCCTCCTAGCTCTGAGTGGACTCAGGAAACAGCCTCCTGTTGCATTAGCTAAGCAATGGACCCTCACTTCCCCATCCACCAGTGCTGCTCCATCTCAACTAATGGCAAAGATTGACTGTGAAGTTAAACCATGGAAAATCTAGAGTGAACAGGGCAGGTGTCCTTGATCAAGTGGAAGGTAAGGAACAGCAGCACCTCTCCTTTGAGAAGCCCACAGACCATTTCCTCAGTTCACTTTCTCCCCAGTTTCTGTTGGGGGAGAAATCCCTTCTCAAATCTAATTAACTTCAGTTGTGCTTGAAACATCATAAGGTATCAGACAAACTGTGTGAAACTACACTTTTCCATCCTATATCACAATTCATGGGTTTCTAGCAGGTGGCCATAATGCCATTCACTCCTAAGAGGTAAAGGGGATGCTCAAAAGTTCAGCATGATATTGACTACATAGTTGGTGATGGGCTAGCCTTGGATAATAAAGATGATGGCTAAATATACTAAAAGCAAGAAACCCAAGGACAAAATAAATATGGTTCTTGAACCACTGCAGATTATAGAAATGGGTTCAAAGTCACCATAGTTAACCACATTTAGCCATATGTTGAGGCACAAATATCCCAGCTATCCTACAGAATACATGGGAGAATTCTCCCCAACCCACCTGCATTTTCTCTTCTGAGCTTCCTTGGCTGAACACAGTGAGGAAACTGGGGTTCACTGTGTGCAGGAGTTGAAAGGAGTCTGGAGTGTCCCGAGAGGTGTGCTTCCTTCGCTTTCACTTGTACAAGTGTGAGAATCCTGAGCTAATGTGAGCCTTTTTAAGCTCCTCAGTTTGATTGTATCTGATCAAATAGTCATGTCTATGGAGGGTGGGTCAGGAAGTGTGAACCTGGAGGCTGTAACCCAAACTCTCCTGCTGAATAAAGAACCAAGGTTATGATGAGGATAGCCTAGGCTACATAGGAAGGCCCCAGTGTCTGGGCTGAAAACTATCAAAGAAACAAAGTATCTCCAAGGACAATTAATCTAAGTGTATTTTGCGGGGCAGAGTTCATTTACATAGGTCCCGGCATTCTTCAGCTCACTAAAATGAAGACCAAACTCTGGAACACAATAAAGTGATCTGCCTGCCTCTGGCTCCCCCTCTGATGTACTGGGATCAAAAGTATGGCT